CGTCAGCAAAAGGCAGCTCTCAGGAATATAAACAGCCTGAGGCTTGCTGCCCTGCAGGTCACCTTGGAAGGATATCTTGTCATTGCGGCTGTACTGTCAGTCTTGTACATGAGCACTTATGCCAGCTCAGGTTTAACTTTATGCCTGTTAAGGCCTTTCCTGCATACATCTATCAGATGTACTTTTGGATGAGCCAAGATTCTTCATAAAAGAGAAAATGGCATTGTGGCTTTCACCTGCTGAAGCATTTTTGAGTTCTTGAAATGGAAGGAACAAAGGATCTATTATAGATGGAGAGAAAACATCCTAACAGTGTGGGGAGGAATGTACTGACAGAGGAAATGAAATTGCTTTCCTCTGCCTTTGAAATGTGTGGATAAAAGTAGCCAAAATCTTCAGTATGGGAGATACGCTATTATTATACCACCTGGAAGGTGGCCGCAAGACAAGATCATTTTCTCTGCTTATGAATGAAGCACTTTTTTGTGCAAGGGCAGAGTAAAATGTGGAGTATAATTTTGCAACCAGCTAGTTCTGGCAAAGCTGCCTGCTTCCCAAGGAGTTAAAACAGTTGAAGGCGTAATTCCCAATGAAAATTAATGAGACAGAGCAGGTGCTTTTGAAAATTTTACCCATGTGGAAAAAAATTACACTAAATCTTGTATTTCCTAGGAATGAAGGAAAGACAAAATTTTTAGGATTGGGGGTTTGTTTTCTTTGTATCAGAGACTGAGAAACCTGTCTTACTGCTTTTTTGCTGTTACCGTTCAGTAGTTCACTGCCGAAACTAAGTGGGAAATCAGATTTTCTTCTTTCTTATGATGAGTAGCACTCGAATCATAAAGTTGCAGATCTCTACATACTAATCTGCACTATTTTTTTGAGAAGAATAAAGGTGAAAGTACCTGATCAGGTAACTAAAACCAGATAAAGTCATGGAAGCAAGACAAAAATGGTACTCTTGCAATTAGGCTGCAGTTCAATTAGGCTGCAGTTTCTGTCTCTGCTCCTCCCCTTCCCAGGAAAGCCAGCAGTGGACTTGGCTTGTACCCCTCCTGCCTAGGGCTCCATGTTGGCATATACATATGTTTAGGAAGATCTAGGGGTTTAAGCTTTGTGTTTGGCCTCTAGCCAGATATGAGTAAAAATTCTTGAGAAGATCATCACATGGAGTTGTTGTAGGGAGAGTAATTTCTAGATTTGCCTCCTCCTTCATGGGAATGCAATCCCTCTTTGCAATTTCTTACTCCCTGAAAGTGTTTTGTCTTTCCCATTGTAGGATCTGGCAGGCTTTTCCCAAGGGCAGGAGTCCTATCTTCAGTTTCTCACCTGCTTTGTTCTGCAGAGCTCCTGACTAATCGGTTCCTCCACTGATGGCAGATGCAAAGCTCATCCAGTTTATTTTTCACAAGTATGCCATCTTTCCCCCCCCACTCCATACTGTCTTTTGCTTCTGGTATGTCCTTTCTGAACTCTGCCATCAATATGCTATTACTCAAACACTCTCCTACAGGCTGCTTTCATTGCAGGGCAAATGCTCTGCTCTTCCTTGCACACATTCCCCCTGAAACCTCTTCATCACTTGGCAATTGAATTTACCCTCGTACTACTTACTACCCCGGTGTCTTATTTACTGAAAGTGTCCTGGAAGTTCTCCTTTGAATGTTTGTTCTGCTTCATGTAGTTGAATGTATTGAAGCCAGAATGCTGTCTTCTCACCCCAGGAATGAGTGAAATATGCAAGCTCCCAGGAATAAGCATGCTGCTTCCACAGTGAGGATGGAAATGCCTGTGGTCCTGAGACGATGCCTTTAGTGTGTTGTGGAGAGGATGTTTAAAACATGTTAAAGCAGGCTGAGAGATGCAGAGGTCCAAGCTTTGGAAGGAGTCTCCTTCATGCCTTCTGGCTGTGCTGAGCGGAGCTGTAGTGTGGTTGCATCTGCCCACCACCGTGGTGGTTTCCTGCTTCATCCTTTCAAAATACTCTTCCTGAAGTTCTCATCACCATCAGTATGCAGAGGACCTTATTGTCTCAGTCTGCCCACTGCATCCTGCTTTGGCATTGCACTTGCATCCATCTTTGAGCATTTTGCTGGAGAGAAATGCAACTGCTAAGTAGTTTGACGTTCAGCATACCTTTGAGAGTTTCAAGTTGGGGTCTGGAATCACTGCCTTCAGAACATCGTTGTAAAAGAAAATGTGATTTGCAGGTTACCCCAACACCTTTAATTTGTTGAATTTGGCATTCCTAGCTTTAGAATGACTGAAAAGTACTTTTATTTTTCTTTTTTTTCCTTCCTAAGCATTAGTAAAGAGAAAAGTTTCTGTTCTTGGCAGAGATTTTTGTGGGCCAACTTTCAGGGCAAAATATTGGGTTTTGAGTAGGGATTCTAATGGAAAAGCTGAGTACCAAATTCACACAAGGCTCTTCTTAATTACAGAAGCCAAAAGCTCTTCCAGATGTCTGTCAGCCCAACATGCTAGATGCTGCCATTACTGGTTTTAATAAAAGCTCATATTCAGCAAACTTTTTATTACTGATTTACTGTACATTAGTTAAGCCAGAAAATGTTTTTGCTCTGAAAAGAAAGCAAACAGACCTGATATTTTCATCCTTTGCACTCCAGCATGTCATTTACAGTGTTAAATACCATCCCAGTTCTGTTGTTTTACTGGAGATTTTCTGTAGATTTCCATTGTTAAAACTGGACTTTCAGAAGCTCCTGTGAAGAAGTACAGGGCAAGAAATGTGCACAAACAGATCGGTAAATGGTGCGTGCAAAACAGGCAAAGCCACTAACACCACAAGCACATATGTGACATGCACTAGACAGGCATTTCTGTGAGAAGTTACCTGTTTGTACCTGCAACTAATATGTACCTTAAAGAAAAATGGAAGCTGAAAAACAAACAGGAAAAAGTTATAGAACAAATACAGGGAAGTGTGATGTGACTTTGTGAACACAAAAGTGAACAGAACAAAACCAGTAGAAAAATCATCAGTCAGAGAGTAGCTAATGAAATCTCTGAACGATGATGTAATTAAAGTACATTAATCATTATAAAAGATCATTTCCCTTTAAACATCTGCTCCCATTCACTTGGCAACAGTCTGGCTAGTGTCATGAATGATGGGGTTTTGGATTATGCTGAAGGGCATGTGTTATCTGAGAAACAGTGTAGAGCATCCCCAGCTTCACAGGGTCTGGGACAGGAGTGTTCTTCCTCAATTCAGGTATAACATTAAGAAAATAAAGGGGAAAATATCAGATGTTCCTTACAGTAAAAAGGAAACCCCAGTATAAAAGTGAGCCCTGCCTTCCCAGCCATGCAGACAGAATTTAATTCAATGCCACTGTATTCGAATAAAGTAATTCCTCTGGGAAGAGACCCTGCTCAACCTGCTGCTTTGAAGAAATCTTAGGAGCTATAATTGTTTGTTCCTTCCTGCTTAAAAGTAAGCAACACAAAAATCTTCATGATCCGTGGCAGCCTGGCTGAGCCAGTGAAAGACTGAGATTATCCATTTCAGGAAAAAAGTCTGGTTTTCCTCTGGCATAAGCAAAGTGGGCAGAGGGCTGTGATGATGCCTCACTGACAGGCGGTGACTCTCAGGCATCAGCCTGCCTACCCTGTGCCCAAGATTGCCTGTGAAGCGGGTGCACGTATGCTTCAGTCGTGCCTGCAGTTTGGAGCGTGTGGTTTATTGTTCTCTGCTTCCTAAAGCTGATAAAAGTCATACAGTGGTATTTAAACAGAAAATCAAAACAAACATCTTTGCTTCTCCCAGAATCACAGAGATTAGTATTTGAGAAGCCCAGTGTCAAGATTTCAGGTTTATGTGTTGTTGTCTTTAACTTCATGATATTTTAGGAGTGCTATGGATTGCTACCTTTGTAGTCCAGCTCAGATAGGTCCCAGTCCACAAGCAGCATGTACCAGGTGCCTCCACAGGTAGAGTGTTCAGCAGTAGGCTGCAGGAAGGTGCCTTGGGATCCACTCACCACCATGTGCCCTCTCTCCAATCTGCTTTTGCCCAGGCGCTGCTGTCCAAGAGCACAGTTATGCTTTTCCATAATAGCCCTGATTACCCCCAGTAGCTTCCAGGGGATTGAAGTAAGGACATACTCTGTGTGCTTGCAGAAAGTGAAGAAGCACATATCTATGCACTTAATGCCAAATTTTGTATCCATCCAATCGATACTTCTGTGGGAAGCAAGCAGCTCCGTTTCTTTGGAACTCACTTCTGAAAGATGTATAGCTGGAGTTACACATGTATTGAAAATCATGGTATTTGAATGAATGAACCTGTCCATGTTACACATAGGGTATGAAATAAGGATTTAGTCATTCTCTTTTCTGAGCTGTTTGTGCAATGCAGAGGTTGTAAGCTTTCATTATAGCATAGGTTGTACACACACGGTTATATTTTTCTTTGGAGACTCAAGTCCTATGTATTGTTCATTTGAAATATTTGGTTAAATCAGATGAGGTTATTTATGTGAAAAGGGACTGTCCTTGTATCACTGCCACCTAATGGTCAGGACACTGTAGTTAAGTGCCTGGTTTAGGTGTCCCCCCGACTGATATATCACCAGTACTAACCTTGTAAGACTAGATAATGCTGTTAACTGCCCTCAACTTCATTTTCAGCCCTTAGTAGCCTGTTCTGGAAGCTCACTGAACACTGCTGCGTATCTTCTCACTCTAATAGCATATGAGAGATCAGGAAAATCAGTTTTCGTGCAGCAAAATCCAGGAAGAAAGAGAAATCATTAATCAGATGGGTGTAATCTCCAAGGGAACAAGTGCTGCATTTTAATTCAGCATTTCCCTTTGATGAAAACTTGAGTGGATGTTATTATGTGGAATTTATATGAAGCCTGGGTTTAGGTAATCAGCTTTAATATTTATACTCTTAGGGAAAAAAAAAGAGGAAAATCATTAGTAAGCATGCATAATTAATGAATAAATTATATTTTTCCTTTGTTTTCCTTCAGGTATAAGGAAATGCTAGATCTAGTGATATCACCCAGCCTGACTGTAAATAGAGAGTGCCCTGACAGACTGAAGCTTAACCTTTCCAACATTTATGCCACGGCTCCAGATGACATAGAAGGTAGGCTGCCTCTTCCACTGACTTTACTGGCTTTAACAAAATGTGTATGTATATGTAACCCAAGGGAAGTGGCCACATGCAAGGCCTCTGCTTCTGACAGTTCTACAGCATAGCGAGCAGCTGAGATTTTGGAGTAGTTTTTTTGTAGACACTCCAGTTGTGGCTGAATCATTTATTAAGGAAACAGTTTGAATGCAAATGGAATTGGAATATCTTATATGTAATTATCTGTGCATAGTAGATGTATATGTACACATGCATGTATATGTTTGTTCCACTGGAATAATTGCAGATATAAAACATACTTCGTGTAGGGCAGTTTTTGGACCCCTCGAGAGCCCCAGTAATAGTGTAAACGTGAGCCCTGGGCTTCTGTGGCTGTGCTGCTGCTGTTGGGGTGGGGGATGGAGGGACTCCCAGGCCCAACATTGTATTGTAAAGCCAGGAAACCTTTTGCCAAAGCATCTCTGTGCCCCAGTTTGCATTGTTCTGAGATCATTGCTATCATCTCCAAACGGTCAGCCCTGCTGGCCTCTGCTCTGAAGTTTCACATTTTGGCAGGTACCAAGGACAAATTCTTTCAGTGGCTGGGGCTCTGATGGAAATTTATCTGCTCTTCTCCTCCTCCCCCCACATCCCCCAACTCCATCATACTGTTCAAGTGAAGGAAACAGAAGAATGTTAAATCTGCTAAAAAAATTATTGGCAAGTGATGCAGCTGAACTAGTTCTTGCTAGTACAATCCCAGCTATTGTTTGCTGCGGTCAGGATCTGTCAGCCTTCCTGTTAGAGGGGAGTTAGGAAAAGGCACTGGCTATTATGTTTTAGTAGTATGTTTAACCCTTCATTTCTAGGCTCTTAGAAGCCATGGAGGTGTTTGCTTGCATGTTTGCTGAGGCATTAGAAACTGCGTGATTAAATCACGTACATCGTGAACTGCCTATTTACAAAAGCAGTCAAAGGGATAACAATCTAAAGGAAACATCCTTTTAAATCTTCATGTTTGGAGAAAAGATTAGAGCTAGAAATGATTTTTGAATTCAGCATTTTGTAAACTTCTTGGTGCAGAAACTATTCATTATTATACAATATAAATAAGAGCTAATATAGACAGTTAACCTAAGAGCTAACAAAAGAGTTGTACTGTTGGACACCAGTTTGCTAGTGGCAGCTCAGGCTGATGTGTTTCTTACAGAAGTATTATGGTTATTTTTCTGCAGGATAATCCCTTGTGCTTCCAAGATTAAGCTCTTTCCCTTGAAAATACTTCTTGTTAATTTGAAGAACAGGAAAATACTTGCATGTTTGTCAAGTCTTAAACTGACAGAGCTTTTAATGCAATAAATGCACACAAGTGTATGCTCTTTATTGCACATACAATTTTAATTTTACTGAGTCTAGTAGCAATACTTATTTATGTAGACGTATGGCCTGCTCATTTCATGGGTGCTTATAATGAGATGTACAATTATCTCAATATAATTTTCAAGTGCACATTTTTCCTGTAGTCCTACGCTTTTGGTTGCTTTGGGTGTTTTGGGTGCACGTGTCAGTTCAACTTGCCTTTTACTGGCAATGACAGTAACATATTGCATATTACATGCAGTAAATTCCCACTTGGCATTCTTGGCAAATGTATTTACTCTTTCAAAATAAAAAAGTTTGAAGATTATTTTTTTTATTTCAAAATAAAAACTTTCTAAATAGAAAAGAAATGAAACTTATGCTCAACCTGTCTTTTCTGCCTTCTTTCAAATATAAAAGGCATGAATGAAACTAAAAAAGTATATGTTTTCATTATATTTCTGTTTGGTAATGAGGATCAGTAACAGAATGGTGTAGGTTTTGTTTTGTCAATCTAAAAATCTAATTTTCCAAAACTGTTCTCTTTCAGGTAAGTCAAAGCGAATTTTTCATAGTGAGTTTGAAGGGGAGTCAGGTAAGTGCAGCTTTGGATTTAAAACCAGTCTTTTCCTCTATATCTGTGTGTAAAAATATGTACGTTTGTATAACCCTATCCTTTTTCAAATGATATTTTTTATCTTCTTTTAAACTAAGCCTCTCTGCCCATTGCTTGGGAAATAGGTTACTGTTACCCACATTTCATGGGGAGAGGAACCAAGGCTGGGTTGCTGATACGTTTTATTTTTCCAAGGTGTTTCAGGGTTGTAAGAGTGTGAAGGAGTCCTTATGGTTTTATTTCTATCAGTGCTTAGGGTGATTCTGATAATGATAAGGGCTGTGCAGGTTTCATTGTCCCTCCCCTGGCACACTGTCCTCCTACCTGAGCTGTCCTTTGCAAAGGGATCTGTGCATACATCAGGTAAGTGTATGCAGGGGGACCCTGGAAGAAGACAGAAGGGGATCATAGATGTGGTATTTGCCCTTCTGTGGTGTTTTGGGGTGTACACAGCTAAAGGAAGAGCTCTGGCAGAAGTGGGGGACAGCTTAGCAGAGGTGGGATCAGAAAGGGCACAAGGCTTGAATTTGTTGTGGAGGAGAGTGCAAAGAGTGGGATATGGCAAAGGAAAGCACTTCCAAGTGCTTGCAGTTTTGAATTTAGATATTTTTATTTTAGTCAATTAAGCCTAAATTGATCTCTAAATAAAGATGGTGGCACATTTTTCTTCAGTAGTGTTCTAGGACACAACTGTTTGGTACATTGGAAAGCATCCTGCACATATAATCTGTGTGATACATTTCCTACTGGTTCAGTATTCTGATTGCTGGCAGGTTACGAAGGTAGGTGATAGATGGAAAAGAATTACAGTGTTGTGTTTTTAATATTTATTTTGATTTGATATATTTTAATAACTTTAAGAAAGTGAGTCATGGTCTAGGAGAGTACAAAAAAATCCTAAAAGGGCAAAAAGTGCAGTGAGCTTAAATCACTTCGGTAATCATAATAGTTGCTTTTGTAACCTTTAGCTTATGAGTCATCCCACCAAAGCCTAGCTTTGTGATTGATATCAGTCCCATGAGAAGAAACTGGTAGTTCAATCAATCAGTATTACCCTCAGTTAAAAACTAAATCTATATTTGCTGTTAAGTGGAGAATAACTTTGTTACCTACTTCAGTTCGTGGAGATTGACTAAAACCAAAGTCTTCTAATTCCTGTATATTTTTCTTAAACCAGCAGTGGTAAAAACAGTGGTGTCGGCTTGGCCGCAGAACAGAACGTGCTGAAAAACTAAGACCCTTTAATTTTGTTTTCCAGGCAGCAGCAAAGCAGCACCGCAGTGTCCACTCCATCTGTACTCGACAAAGTGAGTGCTTGTGCCAAGCGCTCGAACTTCAAAACTGTGTTTCGCTGAACAGCCATTTTGTGCAGACTTCTGTCACCTTAAAAAGCATTTGCCTTAAGCCCATCCACCTGTTCCCCTGCATGTCTCTGGCTCAATGAAGTAACTGCCTCTTAATCGTGTTAGAGTGAAAGGTTTGAGGTATTGTGCAGGGGTACTTCCATACCCCTGGGAATCCAAACCTTATCAGTTTAAATATTCTTGTGTTTATGAGTAACCACAGAGGAATATGTTGACATGTCAGACACTTGCTTGTTTGGCAGATCAAAACGAAACATGAAAAATGAGCATTGATTTTACTCTACATTTTTTTACTAGCACATCTTTTGCACTGTCTTGAAGTCCCCGTGCATTTAGCTAGCTTAATCTACTAGCTCATATCAGGAGCTGTATACTGAAACTAACTTTCACCCCAGTTTAGTCAGTTCTGAGTCCCAAAATATTCACTGTTGTACTTTGGATGTTATTTTATGAAAATGTCTAGAAGTGTTCTACATGTGCTGTAGAAGATAATGTACAGTAACTATTGCCTTAAACTTTCTGTTTTCTTGTTCTGAATAGACATTATCCCCATATAGTGACAGTCCCATCTTTCCCAACAATGGCAACATACGGACAGACTCAGTACAGCACAGGAATCCAGCAGGCTGCTGCCTACACTGCCTATCCTCCTCCGGGGCAGCCCTATGGCATACCCTCCTACAGTGAGTACTCTGATGTCATGTTACCTTTGAGAACATTGTCCTCTTGCTCTTAAAAAAAATGTATTTGAAGTCTTACCTGACTTGATTAAAAATGTTAAGATTATTTTGAACTATCAGCCCTTGCTATATATTGGGGTTTGATCTTACAAGCTAGGTAAGTTTGGACCAGTCAGTAGTAGGATATGAGGCAGCAGGAGAAAGTCAGGTTCAATAGGATGTACTATTTAGGAGTAGTAGCTGGTGAGTGTTCCCATGACTCAGTGCCAAGACAAAGTCTCTTGCAGTAAATGTGCTATATAGGTAAAGTACACTTTACCTTCCTTGATTCTTCCGGGAGTTTCAATGATACAAACTACTTTAAGAGAAACATTTTGTATATTATTACGGAAGAGGCAAGGCACAGCCATGAGTGAAATGGTAGAGTACTTCAGTTGTGGAAGATGGTTCCTATTTGAAGGGCTGCTTGTTAGCTATAGGTGCAGTAACCATTCCTAAACCCAGTCAGCTTTGTTCCCTGCTTTCCTGCACAGAGCCTTGCCAGCAGCTGTGAGGAGACAGTGCTGGGCAGAAGCAGCTGGGGCGTTCAGCCAGGGGCCTAATGAAACCAGCACTCCTGACAAAGGAATGCCTGGTAAACCAAGTGGTAAGAGTGTGCCCAAGTTCTGCATAGAAATACGAAGTCCTTGAGGGAGCTGGAAAGTTCTTACCACTCCTAAAAACCAAGGAGATACTGCTCCTGCTTGGGTACAGCTCTTTAACAGAAAACTTTGGGCTCATCCTGTGAGTGTTGAGTCTTGTAGCATTAAAATGGCTTCATAGTTCCGTTTCCACTCCTGTTTTCTCTTGCACTGTTAAACACCTTTTGTTTGCTTGGCAAATACAGTATCTCTTCCCAACAAGAAGCTTATATACACCATTGACAAGGCGTTTACTGAAAGGAAATTCAATGCAATGCTCTGGAAGCCAGGGAAATGGCCTTGGCAGAGCCGAAGCTCTACCAGGATGATGAGAGAATGTTTTGAGACCCTTTCCTGGAGCTACTTATGTGTTTGCATCAGCTGGCTGATTTCCAAGGCAAACTCTGAACAGTTGTCCTGTTAGAGCAGGTGAAAGTAGATCCATTTGCTACTGCCTAGAGTCTTTAGGGCATACATGTGTCAGGCCCATATGCTGCTTATAAATCCTGCGGATGACCTCTTAGCATCCTTGAGCAGTGATTTCCCTCCCCCAGCCCATATACCCTCTCTAAGATACTCAACACAGCATATGAAAAACTCCACCTGGCTGACAACCAAGAACAATGAAGCAGTATTGTTTTTAGGCACAAAAATAAAACTCGGCCAGTTTCTAGACAAAACAGAACATTGTGTGGAAATTAATTTGGTGCTAAGTTATTTTGCTGTCTGACAACAATTTTTAGACTTCCAAAAAGACCCATTCGCTGAAGATTAATTGTAGCTGGGGTAGGTTGAATGCTCACAAGCAGAGTGCTGATGTCATTGAAAAGCATGGGATGTTATGAAAAGCAGCTTCTCTGCACACACTTTCAAATACCTTCCCTTCCCCAGCAGTAATGGGGCCGATCGCTTGCACCATCACTTGTTCATTCACTGTCCAGATAAACTTCCTACATTTCACATTGCAGCATCGTCATCTTGTTGCTAACTTTTACTCAAATTGCATTGCACCTATTTGCACCTAAAGCTAAAAGTGATTTTTATTAGAGAAAACATTCTCTGGGAGAGCTTGTTCTGTGCAAATGCAGATTTTGCTTTTAAGAGTCATTAAGCTAAAAACCAGCATCTTTGGTGAAAGGCACAATAATTCTACTTGTCTTTTGGCAGGTTTGCCTACAAGTGTTAAAAGATGACAGCAGCCTGGGAAGTGTGTAAATCCAAGGCCAGGACATCAACAGGGTCTTTGTTTAGTCCCAGCACTCAGGGTGTGTCCAATGGCCATTTTTGGTTTTGTGCAAATAGGCACATAGGGGAGGGAAGGTTCGCGCCCAACCCAAAGGGTTCATAATAAAACACACCTTTCAGCTGTTTATTTTATTAATACAGCTGTACAATCTCACCAGCATATCAGAATAAAATATCAACCCCTTTCACTACCAGCAAAGGTTTCATCTTGCAATGTTTAATTCAGCTGTTGCTGTTCCCCCTATACATTGTCAGTTTAATTGCCTGATTATAGTAATGAAAAGATTTTTGTGGCTTCAGGGCTTCTATTGTTCCTGAATGTATATTGTATCTAGCTGAATAGATGATAACCCTCCTCTATAACTTGCCAATAAATGTTTTACTATCAAAGCTGAAAATATAATGCAAGTAAAAGATAACTCTGTTGAGAATAGAAGTCTTGAGGTTAATTTGCCAAAGGTCCTTTTGCTTTGTTAATCATTGCTTGCTTCTGGTAACTGTTCAGAAAGCTCATGAGTCAATGAGTCTGCTTAATTCTAAAACAAAACTATTTGTTCAGAAATGGTTTTTTAAAACAATATTATTCATGGTTGTTTACCCGTCTTAGCAAAAGTTCATTTGGGTATGGATACAGGATGTAGTGACTCAAATATTATTTGTGATGATTCTATGTGACTTATTGAAGAGACCTGCTTGGGTAATGCAGGTAATTAAAAGTGAAAGTGTAGGAAAAAGGAGTTTCTTATGTTAAAATATAGCTGAAAAATTAATTTCTAAACTTTATTCGTCACGCATTTGCATGACAAACACTCATGTTCTGCTCTTGGTTCTTACTGTATGCCCCAAAGGCATTAAAACGGAGGACAGCCTGAGCCATTCCCCAGGACAGAGTGGGTTTCTTAGCTATGGATCCAGCTTTGGTACCCCGACGGCCGGACAAGCACCGTACACGTACCAGATGCATGGTGAGTACAGCTTGTGCCTTGCAGGATGATGGTAGTAAGAGAGGTCAGAATTCTGTGTGCCTACATGAGACCAATTCTTCTTTTGCAATTACAATGAAATGCTTAGGTATGGGCACCAGGATAGGGAAGGAGGTAAGTCTTCATAGGTCTGTTTTGCTCATCAAAGCATTAGTTATTGGCTTAGGTACTGGATTTAGCATTAGTATACCCTAGCAAAACTTCACATATGATCAATATAAGCTTTACCTTTCTGCAGAAGCTGTGTTTTGGGGTGGGGGGGGGCTTAATCAATTTGTGACTGTGTGTCTGGGATTGTTGTGTTAGTGTGAATTCCCGGCTTCTGAGTGGGAGCAAAACAAAGGTGGTTTTACACTTAATGCAAACAGTACTGTTAGTATTACACTTCTGCCTTATGCTGTCCTGAGCACGCTGCTCTGTGGTTAAACTGCTGTATATTCTCTCCACTAATCTTTTGTTTTAAAAAGCTGATACTTTGATACTAAAAGAATTTTTTTATACTGCTACAACGTAACTGATACCTGTAAAGATACATCTGCCTGGTTTAATTCCCAGAGGACCCATATCATTAATAGCATACATACTACTGAAGAAAGAAGAGCAGAGCTGGAAGCAGCTGTTTTTTCCTCAAGGTTACTGAGCTATGATTAGTAAGTTTAGAATAACTGTTTTGTTTCTGTCAGAATAATAATTGATTATAAAATACTCAGTTGGATTCCCTTAAGGCTTCTAGGAGAGTGCCTTGTACTGGTAGCTTTATAACGCTTAGTTTTGTTGTACAACCAGGAAGGCCAAAATATACTTTTATTTCTAAAAATAAAACTTAAAAGTTGTTCTCTAGTCATTCCATTTGAGAAGCTGTTTGAAACACCAGGTCTCAGGAGATGGAATGTTGACTTGCCAACTCAAGAAAGTCATGAAAGGGTTTAAATCTGAATTGCCAAGAAGTGTAAAGTAAATGAAAATGGTGGAATTTCATTTTTGTTTCCTTTTAACTTATTTCTAACATGGTATTTGATTTCTTTGAGCATTTTAGTGGTGGTGGAGAGAAACCTGAACTGCATATGACACGTTGTCATTATTGAGCTGGTATTCCATGTACTTTTTCCTCCAGTATGTGCTCTTTTCCTGATCTTTGTGAATTCTGTTGAATTTTATTTATATATTTATTTATAGTCCTGGGACTTACTGAATCATTAAGCATGAATTTGAGGAGGACCACTAAAATTTGGATCTAGTCTGAATTCTCTGGGTAATCTGAAGTTAAAACCACCTTGAATGCCTTGTGGAACATACTGGAGACATCTGGGTTGAATGTTGCATCAAAAAACAATCCCCAAGCTATATATATAAGCTATATGTATATCCCCAAGCTATATATATAAGCCATATATATATATATCCCCAAGCTGTATATATAGCCTGTAGTTGGTTTGGGTTTTTTCTTTTATCACCTTGAATCCTAGAAGTTTCACCTGTCCTACACCTACCAGGAGTTCAAGTTTTGGCTTCTATTCTGCTCCTTAAAACTTGTCTTGAGTCTGGCTGTAACACCACTATTGACAAAGTGCTGGCATTTTCTTTTGCTGCCTTGAAAGATTGGTGTATCCCGTCTGGGTTTCTGTTGTTTTTTGTTTCCCCAGAACATGTGCTTTGTGTTAGCTTAGAAGAATCTGAGCCATTTAAGAAGGCAAATTCTTAACTTAGTTGGCACTGCAGTTTTTAAGATGGCCCCTTCGTCCAGTCAAGAGGCTTAGACAAGCAAATCTTGTGCACTTGAAAATGTTACACTTGCGAACAACAGTGACACAATCATGTGTTGTACCAAAACAGGCTGCATACATACGTTTGTAAGCATGAATGTGCCCAAGTGCTTTCAGATAATGTTCCCTAGGGCAAAGCTGCGGTATTAGGAGAAATCTAACTTCTTTTCAGATTTTTATGCCAGGAAGATCATTTCAGCCAGTCACTAAGCCTTTAATACAAAAGAAAATAGAGAAAAAGTTTCTGCAAGTGGCAGGTGCTTACTCCAAGGCAAAGGGAGCAGGAGCAAATGTGTCTTCCTGTTGTAAACAAATATTTCCACCCTTCTTGCTTATGAGAGAAACAGTCTGAAGCTCCCTGACAGTACGGTTTATTTACCTTGCTGAGTGCTAGTGAAAGGTTTAAGTGAGAAGCCAGGAGCCTTCCTGTGCCGAGTGCTACCGAGGAATGTGTGCTCAGTGCTTTCCCACGCCACAGCACTGGGGGGTGGGAAGGTGATCACTCTTGTCTCCCTAATACAATCTGTGCCACCCAGCTCCAGGGCCATTGAGACTTTTGCCAAGTTTACATCAGTCCTTTAGGTCACCTCATTGCTGATCCAGGCAGGGACTCTGGGTAATGGGCTAAAGCAGCTGAAAAGGGCAATATTTTTTATATGTACTTCTATAAAACCAAATTTCAGGGGACTTTAGCAGTCAAGCCCTTAACCCTCACTTCAAGGACAAAATGTTTTTTGCATCACACTGAAAGTGATCTTGAAGAGGGTGGCATGCAGGGGATCAGCAAGGAAAGGTACCTCCAGGAGTGTGTGCTGCTCAGTTTTGTGTTTTAAAGTGTAAGGAAAACATGATTTTCTTAAGCTAATCTCTGCAGTATTATAAGATGATAATAGGTCAGTTATATAAGTGGAATAACTTTGGACTTGTTTGCCTCCATTGAGACCCAGCTCCCAGAGCAACATAATGAAGTCATTTGCAAGTGAGCAAGTGGCCAGCCTGTGATTCCTGAGCAGGTTGTGTAGCCTGTGTGACTCCTCCTCATAACTGAGTTACATGGTCCCACCAGCAAATAGGGACCAATCGTATGTGTGTTACACTGTTCACCAAGGGATAAATGATCTCTTGGGTGACAAATACTTAGTCTTACAGAGCTCTAAGACAAATGTTCTCCTTCAGTAAGTGCCAGTATAGTTTGTTTCCTCTTGTTTCTTTGGTACCAATGCTAACTGTGGCTAGGATATATGTGTCAGGCTGTAGCTTCCCCTCTGTGATGGCTGTTGCCAGTAAAATGGTACTTTAGAAGACAAATTCTTATCTCTCTTAAGTCAGTTCATTTTCAATACAAACACAGGTGAGGCAGGTGTGATGTGGTAGCATTTAGCTTTTTCATCTTTAACTCCAATTATCAATTGTACCCTGGCTCCTCAGCAAGAACAGAATCCACTAAAAAGCAAGAATGAGGATAGAACATTCTTTTGGTGATTAAGTGGTAAAATAAAATCCAATATTTTGCAGTCAGCCAGAAGGGGAAATCTATTTTCATGTTTCCCTACATGAGAATAAATAAAATGTGGAAGCGTTTATAAGCCAAATATCTAGTGCAATATGTCACACACACATATAAATACAAAAGATGAGATTGGTGAGTTCCGTAGCTCATAAAAAAACCCCTATATCACAATGGTAGATTGAATTAATGATTTTAATTGCCATTTAACAGTGGATATGATAGCATATTGTCAGAACAACATTCAAATAGACTGAAATCTGGTAGTTAAGGATACTGTAGTTGCTAAGGGTCAGGGAGAATTCTTTGGAATATAAGAAACTTAACATTTAGTGAGCTATGCAAAATACAAAGAGAAAACCCTGCCAGCATGTTAGCTAACATAGAAAACCATGAGCTACGCAGAGAGAGCAATAGAGCAGCCAGCTTATAGAGCATTTCCTGTGGTTGCATGAGCATGTGTTACCCCTTTATTGCACATCAGGCCATCTCTTCTCAGCTTGTCATTAATTCCTAGACAATGCCTTGCTCTTCAGTTATTATTGCTAAAATGACAGCTGGTATGAAACTATGAAGTTGCACAACAGTTAAGTTGTGGCCAAAGACCACTGTGGATACTGTCGCTGGGCAGGGAAAGATTTGACCACTTTTATTTATATTTTTTTAATATCCAAATCTATCTACCCACAAAATACTTTTTACATTACAAAGGAAAATTTAGTTATGTAACTGGGATAACTTTCCTTTGCCAAGGAATTGCAAAGCAGTATTGAGTTCAGTACAGACAGAAATCTGGGGCCAAAGACCTACGCACTGAAATTCTTTGCTACTGCTGAGCATTTTTTTTCTTTTTAGAGTCCATTCTGATCAGCTGTCAAATAATGAATGAACAGAAAGAAGCATTTATTTTGTGCAACACTGATTTGAAGTGGGCTAATTATATTGCTTATATTTGTGGAATTAATTGCTTATGAATTGTTCTCTTGGCCTAAGACCAAAATCTGAATATTTAATCAACTGAAATGTTTTCTTATGCTGGAAACATTTTGGTTCTTGTTGATATCTAGGTAATCTGGACAGTTATTGTTTCCAAGTGATGCCTGAATTTTGATTGCAATTGTGTGCCGGTTTGTGTGTTACGTAGTTAATATGAGGCTGTAAATATCTATTTGGCATGAATGGTTAGCTCTGCATGCGTGAATTTTGCAAAGGAAGTGGCATGTTTGATTTTAAGCTTAATTCTTTAAGTACCTGGTGATGAAATGTGTGAGAATCTACACTTGAGAAGTGTGGATCACACTTCGGCATACAGATAGTGAATTTGTTTGAAGTCCAAGAAGATAAAGGAGAGCAAGAGCATGTCCTCAGCAAACTGTCACTCAGATGCCTTAGATTCATAAAATTAAAACCTCAGTAGAAAATGGGTAGTTTCTTTCTAAAGCTTCTGCTTTACAGCTGGTTTCCATTAGTTGCAGTTTTAAAAGTATGGCAGTAAAGCTGTGCTCCACTCTGTGGCAAGTTCAGCCGGGAAAGGCCTCTCTTCAGGAGGGGTCAGACCTCACTTTTTACAGTGTAAATACAAAGTTCATAAGAATAACAGCCAGTCTCCCTTTCAAAGATTTTTTAAACACCAGGGGCTGACCATGCTACATTTACTTTGTTTTAGAATGAGCTGTCTTACAGGAGGAGGAAGTCGAGGGGAGATGCAAAGG